AAAACTCACTTCTCGACTAGACTAGTGGTTTCCTTCTTATCGGTAAGTAGCTACTGATTTGTAGATTGAAAAAGAAATCTACCTGAGCCAGACCAATTTTTAAGCTGTAAATTTATTTTGAAACTACCAAGGCTACAACATAAATAACGATTTTATGTGGGACACCCTGTACGTAAAATTTAATCTTATTCTAATAAAGAAACATTCGTACATATTATTGGTTTTTTATGCGTTATATTTTCGTACTACTTAAGCTTTACAAAATCTTATTACTTAGGTACTTTTAAAAAATTACCCATATTTATAAATAAAAGATAATATCAGACCATTATAAGCCCCGTATTCTTTAAATAGTGTTTTCCGCAAAAACAAATAATTTCAAACATTTAATAACTGAATATTCTAAAGCTTATCAAATAATAGGAATGTTATGTCATGCCACCTGAGTATTTTCAAAGACGCCGCAGTAAAACGAATAAACAGGTGCAAAAAACGATCAAATCAATAAGGTTTTAGGTACTGAAATCTACGAAAATACTATCTTTTTTATATATAATTCCACATGTAAATATTCTTATAACATTTACTTGCTTAGTCCTACATATAAAATTGTTTACTTTTATTTATAAGTACGTGAAAATAATTGTTAAAGTGTGGGGTTAGGATAACATCAAACGCATGTTTTACAAACGTTTTTTTTAGTTATTATTTTATTTGGGTAAATTTAAACGGTAACCATGAATAAACAAAACATCAAGGATTTTATTTTTGTGCTTACCCCTACTTTTGTTCTACACGTTTTACTTTTAAAGATTTCAGTACCTAAAAAACGCCAGAAATTTCACTATTTCTCGGCCAGAAATATGGCCACCTTATGCATTATTTTAGCACGCCTTTTACAATAAACCAATTCTGTGTTTTCGCTTTCATTTTCAAGGGTAGCGACACCTGTGACAGAGTATACAAACTAATTATACCTACAAATTCTTGTTTCAGATAGAAATCACTAAAATTCTGGTTTACATATATAATAAACATGGAGTCGTGTGTAAAATGTTGTCATTTGGCTTGAGGACACAAATGATAGAATTGTTAATAAATATTAATCTAAAAATTAAATACAAATGATCCTAAGTGTCCGTTCTAGTGAGTGAAGTTATTTGGTTATTGTGCCTGACCTAGTTCCGTCGTAAATGCAATATATTGACAGACTAACAGTATGGTTAAAATTGAGGTACTTTGGCATTTATTTAAATTATTCTTCTGTTCTCATGAGCATTGAAATTTATCTCACTCACTAGCGGAAACCATTGCGAATACATTGATATATAATAATATTCAATTATGTTAGTTTCTTCGATGATTTGTGTCCTCATCTGCTCTGTTACATTGTAAAAATATACATACTAAATCGCCCCCTTAAATGTTAGTTTACAAATATGTTCAGACACGAGGGGTTAATACCACTGAAAGTCTCGGAACTTCAACTTCAATGAAAGTTCTACAAATTCTATTAGTACTTTTTATTACCAATAGATTTTCTAAGAGAAAATAATTTTAAATATAACGTGATGTGTCACAAGTTCAAGAAGTCGCTGGTGTAATTTTTAAATTTCCAGAGGTATTGTACAGTCATAACACAAAACAAAATATCATTGAATTATTTGTCAATATTTCTACAGACCTAATAATTTGCGTTTTTGCAGTTTGTAGAACTTGCTACTAGAAAACTTGGTATGTAATATCCCAAAATGCTGAACGATTTACGTGGATGTTGCGGACTCAGTTAAAACCTAGTCTTTAAACACTCACATTCGTTCGTCAGATGCTTATTTTGCAATTTTATTACAATAACTACTACCTGTTTAAGCAGATAAAGTACTATTTTCTCTTCTCGAATGGGTGTAACAGAATTGCTAAAATTTGCTATTAAATTGAAAATTCGTCAAGTACATTGTTACGCTACTACATTTTTTAAACAATTAGATCCTTCTTAGATAGTACCTTGCTTGTATAGGAGATATGTTAACCTTGAGTAATAAAAATGTCCCACTATAAAGGTACATTTATATTTCAATTCAGCTAAATATCACACGTTTTAATTGAACTCCGGATACTGCTGCTGGTAATAAAATGAAAGGAAATTATTATAACAGAACAGCCTTTACTAACAGGACAAGTTTTTTTTTACTCTGTCATTCACATTCGAATATTTTATGTACCTGGTCATACCTACTTGTAGACTACTTATAGAAGTCTGTTAATTAAAACCGAACGTGGTTAGCATTCGTATCTGAAAAATGACCAGAAAATAATTCATAATGGGAGTTATTATTTTGAAATATTTAAGATAAGGACATGATGTTTAACGAAATTTGATATATACTCAAGCCTAATATGGTGACATATTTAAATTTTTTAAAATCACTAATAGTATTTTCTCACTTTTGTACAAAAAATTGTAACGATCTTTTTTTGTTGAAAATTAAATATCTTCCCCAAAATAAAGTTTTTAAACTCCCAGATTTAATAAAAGTTGTCTTAATGTATTATTATATCAAGGTGTTAACGAAATAAGTATCTACTCAAAATTGGAGAGTATGTAAAACATGTCGAAATATGAAGAAAACCTTAGTAGAGTTTTTGTCAGTGGCGGCCCCTACAGCCCATTAAAGGGGTAACTCAGGAAACATAATATCAAAACGGTCTAATATTAAATCGTGAAATTTTGGCGTTGTATTTATATGCTTAATAATCGCCATATTATACAAATCAAAATTTGCTACGGGGGCGTATGCGGGGCCATGGGGCAAATTTTATAATTTTTTTTGTACGCATTTTTTTCTACATCCTGAACCGAAATTATGAAAATTTTTTTATCACATTTCGCATAAAAAGGTACTCTTGTTAGATTTTAATAGCATTATCCGTTTTCTAGTAAAATCCGTTACAATAATTCATTACGTGCTCAAAAATTCCTGCTGAAAATAAATGTGCCATGAGAAAATTACTATTTATGACACTTAACAGAGGTGTCAAGTACCTATATATCAATTACTGATTAGATTACCTACTCAATACTAACCAATCTAAGAAATTTGAATTTAGATACCTACTGTAATAAACATAGAATAAACTAAATTATTATAGGGCTATGTCGACATGTATTACATACTCTCCAAGTACTTATTTCGTTAACACCTTGTATTATTAATTAAAATTAAAATATAGCAAAAATCAAATACAAACATTAGGTGTACACAATTATAATTATTAATTGTAGTTAAATCATAAATCTACTTATTCTACTAGAAAATAAAAATAAATAATGTTTTAGTTTTTTCTTATAATGAATGAAAAAAAGTTGACTTTTCAAATTTCTGTAGCCTTAAAGGAGACACAATATTTTATATATATGTACACCAGTAATTAAACAAAAATTTCTACCTATCCGCAATAAGGAAAGGTAAATTTATATGTGAGCTTTGTAAAAACCACCAATACTTACGTTGTAAGATGTGCCTGTCCATTTATAATAAGTACAAACTTCAAATAATAAAAAATTAATCTACAGAAAAACAATATTTTGCAAAGAATGCATTGCTTCATTATTTATTATATCACAGTTCAGTAAATAAAAGAAATTCGTCTCTGTCATGTGGAATATGAAATATAATTAGTTATAATGTTGTTAGCAAAAATATAATACATCATTTGATTAGAGTAAATCTAGCTATTTAGAACACTCTCTGAAATCAGAAATGGAAATTCCTTATAGAAATTTTACATGTACATACAACTGGAACTTGAGTCAGTATTTACCGTTATTACTTTGCTAGTAATATAGGTACATCTCAACTTTTTCTTTTGCAATATCATTCCGGCGACTTTTTCGATAATGTATTATTTGAAGAGGACATAAACAAATTATTAAGTGAAGTAATGTAAAAAAGTAATGCATTCAATAAACCCCTTCATTTTATCCTAATTGAACAAAAAATTTTATTACCAAGCTGTCGTGGTGCCCATGCACCTATGAGATTGTTTAACATTACAATTTATTCTAAATACCTCTGGATATCACTACACAAACAAATTAATTTTTATTATTGTAAATGTTCAGTTTGGGTCTGTTATCACTATAATTATTTTGTTGAATCGGGATGTTTCATGATGATTTTTTGAAAATATTCTAAATAATAATATCGAGGGAAACAACTACTTTCCGGACTATAACCCCGTCCAGTATTAAATTACGCGTAATATGTATACTTACCACATGTAATTCATTACTGGACCGGTCTGTAACAATTAAGATATAACATGCTTTATAAGTTATATCTCACTCAAGTTGCTGAAAATATGTGACAAATTTTATAACAATTTCTTTTTCATTTGACCAAGATTCTTAATCATTAAAAAAGTTTAACCAAAAACCCAAGTTATTGCTTTTAGATAAGTTAAATTAAACTTACTACATAAAAGAAGTACTACATAACGCCGCTAATAAATAATTACAGATGTCCTACAGATGTCCTACAGATTACCAGTTTACAAGAGCCATATCTCCAAAGTTAGAAATTGTGAACTTGAAGTAATTAGAATTAATTCCTAATTTATACACGCACACTGTTTTTTATATCAACGAGATATAAAAGTTCGTATTTGCATTATAGATGTACCTTTACGAAATTTTTGACTCCAATTTATATGTATTTACCAAAAAAAAAATTTTTATATATATATATATACTATATATTATNTGTGTGTGTGTGTGTGTGTGTGTGTGTGTGTGTGTGTGTGTGTGTGTGTGTGTGTGTGTGTGTGTGTGTGTGTGTGTGTGTGTGTGTGTGTGTGTGTGTGTGTGTGTGTGTGTGTGTGTGTGTGTGTGTGTGTGTGTGTGTGTGTGCGTGCGTGCGTGTGTGTGTGTGTGTGTGTGTGTGTGTGTGTGTGTGTGTGTGTACTCAGTTATAACTTATTATTTTAATTAAAAAAAGGCAAAAACTTTCACAAATCTATTTGTTAATAGAGTCTATTAATTTGACTGAATGGTTCAAAATTACACCTACTTTGAAGTATACTATTAAGATTAATGTATAGTCAAGGAGCCGAATGAAAACAAATACTTTTCTTTAAAAACAATGGAGCAAGCATTGACAAAATGACAAAATAAACAAAATTACTATCACTTTCCAGCCTTATTATAAAATTTTTTTATTTTAAATCAACCCAGTCCACCTCCTTGCAGGGATGCAATTGCGGAGGATGGAATTCCAAGCTTTTTAACACCTGCTGAAGGTGGTAAATGGGCTCCAGCTGGTTGAAAACCGTCTTCATTAGCTGTATATTCGACAGAGTATGTTTGTCCATCATCTCCTACATAGGAATATGATCCTTTTACATCTAAGGATTCTTCTGGGGTACCAGCATTCTTTAAAACTCCTTGTGCCTCTTGGTGTATGCCATTACTTGTGTCGACACTGAAAAAAATAAAATCGACAAAGTAAAGTAAAGTAAAAGTGCACGGAAAGATAGATTGCACTATATTATAAACGAGATATTAGGGCAATAATACAATTTAATTAAGGGTTAATTAATTGCAATAACTGTAGTTATTGTTGAAGTTTTTTCCCATAAATTGTTAATATTGACGACTTGAACAAGAGTAGCTTTGACGTCTTAGTGATTTTTATTATACAGGGTGTTGCATCGCGAGAGGGACATGGCTTAATGGGAGATAGAGGACATCTAGGGTAACTAGGATCGCCTATAAAAATATCTCCAGGGCCATTCTTTATTGAGATACAGGGTGATTTATGAATTTTGGTCAAAACTGCTTTATGTCATAACTTTGGTAGGGAATGGAATAATGGGTTCATATTTAGTAGGGTTAATGCATTCACGATACTTCATATATGCATGTATGACAGCAAAAAAATCCAGGTCCGGACTGCAAAAATTGATATTTTTTTGTGCAAGTCTAGAAAACAACACTTTCACTTTGAAAATTTGCTATAAAATTAATTTGCCATTGTAAAGTACATTTAGTCACCTATTATTGTCTTTGTGTTTTATTGCTATTTGTTTTCCGTATTTTATTAAATAGTCTTTGTTCCTATTTGCCTTTCTTATTTCTATTTTTTTGAAATCCTATTTACTAAAAGAAATAAACTACTATTTTTATCACGTATCTTTTGCTTACCCCATTTCATGTGTTTCTTACTTACTCGTAATTTCATTTTAAAAGTCTTGTTACTGTACCAATAGCGTATTTAAGTAATCATCAAAGTGTAACGAGAAAAAGAGACATGTCGCTGAGATTACTTTTTTATGTTCTCCTCGATAATCTTATGAGAATACCAAAAAAATACATACGGGGCGATGTTTTCTAGTTACAAAAAAAATTTAAAACTTTTCAGTCCGGACCTGGAATACATATTATTTGAAGAAAATGAGGTTTAAAATATGCATGCTTGTTTATAACATCTACCCTCAAATAAGCCTTCGCTAATTTTAGTTGCAAAACCATTTTTATCAAGTGTGCTTTACGTAATTAAGTTTTAGAAGCCGTAGTCTCGTATATTCAATAGCTTATTTAAATAACTACCAAAGTGTAACAAAAAAAGAAGCGCGTCTTTAAGATCACTTTGTTATGCTCTTTCCGAATATCGTATCGAAATTTCAAAAAAATACATACACAGTGTTGTTTTCTAGACTTGCACAAAAAATTAACAATTTTTGCAGTCCGGGCCTGGATTTTTTACTGTCACACATGCAAACATGAAGTACCGTGAGTGCATTAACCTTACCAAATATGAATCCATTATTCCATTCCCTACCAAAGTTATGACATAAAGCAGTTTTGACCAAAAATCATAAATCACCGTATCTCAATAAAGAATGGCCAAGGAGCTATTTTTATAGACGATCCTAGTTACCCTAGATGTCCTCTATCTCCCATTAAGTCATGTCCCTCTCGTGATGCAACACCCTGTATAACTGAAAATTATTTTGAAAATTTGCGAATGATTAATTCTCAGCATATATGAAAAATAATAAAAATTATGAGGACCTTTTTACTAGAGTAAAAATGCTTATAAAAGGCAGCATTATTCCTCATTGCTGTATTATGAATGTTCTACTTCTTGAGATAATGTTGAATTTATTAATAAACAGCACTAACGCAGCTCAAAAAAATCAAAATTTCTACACCAATATTTTTAGACTTTTGTTCACACACAAAGGGTTCCCATAATTTAACAGATTTAGTTCTGTTAATTCTATTTTACAGAACATAATCTACCAAACAAATGTGTATCCGTATATAAGGAAGAAAAAATTCATATCATGTTTACTCACTAATAAAGTATAACTGATGCCATGCAGGTACCAACTTTTTTTCATATTTCATATTTTTTCTTATTATACATAAGTATAGGTACAATACAGGGTGGTCCGAATTTTATGCAGGAAACTTCAAGGGCAGATAGATATCTTTAAAATAATATGTGTTTGCCTTATAAACATTGGTCTGGAACAGCCCCGTTTTAGAGATACAGGGTGTTGAAGTTGTTAAAAAAATTGATTTTTTGTTTACATCTCCAGAATATATTAACCGATCTCAATAAACTTTGGTACAGATAATGTATGATAGTAGGCCTTACATTCCCTAAAATATGAGCTTTAAAGGTTCAACCAGTGGTGTACAACTGGACAGGGGTCACCACTTTTTTGCATAACTTCTATGTTTGGGGTTATCTGAAAAGTAAAGTTTATTCTACTCCAACAAATACAAGACCACAACTACTGCAACGAATAGAAAACGGGTGTAATGAATTAAAAGAAAACCACTATATGATATTAGCTTCAATTAATTCCATTAATAGACGATGTCAGAAATGTATGTGGGTGGTTCGCATTTTGAACAATTGTAAATACGTACCGTTAATTTTGTTTCTTGTTCAGTTGCTATTGCTTGGTAAATATATTTTTTTTATTATTTTGATTTAAATTGTTTTTGTTTGTAGAGTATTAGGCCTCCAGGGAAAATAAAATCACCAGGAACACTACCTCACAGGTGGTGTAAAAGGAGTATAAATAGTTTTGTTGATGTGCTTACAAATTGCACTTACTTTTAAGCATAAACATAAATATTCTTGTAATATTATGGTTAGAAGTGTCTGTCACAAGGGGATTGTATTGGTATGAATAACTTGAGAACGGCGAATCTTAAGGAAAAAATTCAAGTTACTTTTTTACTTACTTTATGCATCAGAATATAAATCAGTTACAATGACTTGTAAAAAATGCAGTTGCGTAGTTTTTTTGCAAACAAGGGGTGACCCTGTCCAGTTGAACCACTGGTTGAACCTTTAAAGATCATATTTTAGGGAATGTAAGGACTACTAACTATCATATATTATCTGTACCAAAGTTTATTGAGATCGGTTAATAGATTCCGGAGATATAAACAAAAAATCAATTTTCTTTTAACAACTTCAACATTTTGTATCTCTAAAACGGGGCTGTTCCAGACCAATGTTTATAAGGCATACACATATTATTTTAAAGAGATCTATCTGCCCTCGAAGTTTCCTGCATAAAATTTGGACCACCCTATATATTTAAACTGTTCGGATTTTTTGCACCTATTATATTTTAAATAGATTAAGTGAATCATTTATTATCAATACGATGTTTTTTTATTATATTTGTGTTATTGATAAACATCATTTATTTATTAAGTATTTATGAAATGAATAAAATGAAATTTTTAGAAAATTATTTTGGAGTTTTGATTGAAAACCTCCCGAACTCTAAAAAATATATTTTTGTAAATGTTTTCTTCATATGATGCTAAATCAAATCAAAACTAAACGTGTCTAAGTGTAATAATTTCAAAGATATTTAACAATTTGCCATTAAATATACATGCGGATAATCTTAAATACCAATTAGCTGAAAGGAAGCTAAATTGTGTTCGCTAAAGTTCATTGAAGATTTAAATGTTAAACAATCATTTTTTAAGCAAAATAAGACATTTACAATTCACTTTAAATGTAAAATAAAGTCATGTAATTCTCTTTGATTCCAAAAATCTAGGTGATAGATGAAATCTAACATTTCTGCATATAAAGGATTGCTTTTTCAAGTGGAATAACATTTATATAGACCTTTTTTAAGTTGTAATTAGATAATTATTAAACAGCGCCAAAATAAAGAGGGCCGGGCGGTAAACTAGACCAATGTATCCTATATGTTTTGTCCCGCTGAATCTGAATCCAAAACCAACATTGTCATATTTGTGTTTTGACAAGAAAATCCTCTAGAAAGTCAGTAATTAGAAAAACATTGGAACCTAACAAAAACTACCTCGTAACCCCATAACAGAAGTATATAAGAGCGTAGATTAGAACAACGGGACTGATGAAACATGGAAACGTCAGAAATCTAAGACTGTAGAATTCTGGGTAACCTCGCCATCTCAATATTCAAGAGATGCAATCTCTTTGAACTTATGACTTGAACATAAGCACTTCTGCCATTAAGTCATCTGGGGATTATTTTTCTCTTTACATTTAGTACTTAGTATCTGAATTATGAACTTTCACGAGATAATCATTCTCTCACATTTCATATCATGAATTCCAATGTTGTTGAGGAAAGGAAGCTGTAATGACTTAGATCACTAAAAGGAAATTCTAATTACAAATTTGCCAATAGATTTTTGAAAATTCAAATTGATGGATTAAAAATGGCGGACATGATGCTCAGCTATTTCTCTTTGAGGTATAGAGGATAAATTTGCTCACCAACTATGATTCAAACGGAATATGCGCTTATCCCACAATCGAATGAAACATTGACTAGCGATACTCCAACGATTTAAAACCATTGAGAAAAGTGTGCTATGAACTCAATGTTACTCATTCATCACCACTAAAAATACCGCGAACAAGTCAACAACAAGTCAAAAGTAGTAGTAGTAGTAGTAAGCTGTAAAAATGATTAGCATCAGAACTTCGATGGCGAATATTTTGGACATGGATTAGGTTTTTACCTCAAAGGAGGGATAGTTGAGGAATATGTCCACCATTTTGAATCCGTCATTTTGAATTTTGAAATTCCAATGGCAAAATAATCAGACTTCGGGCGTGTTGCATAAATTTTCGACTTTAAGTGTCCCCATAGAAAAAAGTCTAAGGGCGTGAGATCTGGCGATATGGGAAGCCACTCAATTGAACCTCTTTGCATCCTATCCACTGATTCTGAAAGTTCTGATTTAAAAAATCACGCACAACTACGGCATAATGTGGTGGAGCACCATCCTGCTGAAACCACACATCCTTTTCTGGCAAAGCGTTATCATTTTCCAATATTTCCACAATCATCGGCTAAATATTCGTTTCCACTAGATTGATACATGTTTCCATCCAGATTTCCCGGTAGGAAGAAAGGCCCTGTGAGGTGGTCTCCCAGTAGGTATGTCCCCCCAAACATTTAATTTCCTTGGATGCTGCGTATGAGTTTCATGAAAAATGTGAGGATTTTCATCACTCCAGTAGCGGCAATTATGGCGGCTGTTGGAACGTACATTTATTTATGGGAAAAACAGATTGGGTACAAAAAATTTGGATTCCTTCAATCAGGTTCGTCATTAATTTCTTGTACCAAATTAACAAATTACCGTAGCTGTAAGTGATTTTCTTAATCAGAACTTTCCAAATCACTGGATAGAACGCAAAGGTTCAATTGAGTTCAAAGATTTTATTATTGTATGGAAGTGGAGGGAAACCATAATGAAATAACATTCTTTCATTCATTGATATTTTGTTATATTCTTAAAGTTATGATTTTATTGTTATATTCAAACCAAAATTTAAAAAGTCGTATATAAGAGTATTTTACACCCCTGTCAAAGGGGTACCTTGCAAGACAAAAACCTACGCCATCACATGTCCCCCGTGAAAAGAAAATCCTACGAGGGGGTTAATTCTGCGCCTAAGATCAAATAACGAATGTTACTGCAAAACAATGTGAAAAACCATAACCTTGTATTTTATTAAATATTTAAATGTAGATTGATAGACACATACCAAAAAAAATATAATCTAACTTATCCCTCAAAGTTGGAAACCACCTACAAACCAGGGTCCCATTTACCCCTTTGAATCGCATATTTTTCTATAAATATTAAAATAAATAAATTACTATTAAATTATATTAAATATTTTTGCCTGCATTTTTATTACCGTGGGGGTTACTAACTTTTACAGACCAATTGATAAAAATGGACACTTAAATCAGTAGCCATATTTTTACTAAAAAAAATCTTTCTACTATCCTAATTACCAATTTCGAAAAAATAAATGTTACAAAGTAATTTAAACATTTTCTACTAATATATTAGTGAATACTTGAGCAATGCTGAAATTTATATTTCTATAAAACTAACTGCCAGCATTTATTATGTTTTTTGACGTCGATCTATGATGTAATATTAGATGTCAGTGGGTCAAGGATACCGTCTTCTCCTAATGTCTTCTTTATCTAATAATTTGTTTTTTTTATGAGTAGATGCATCGTCGTTTTTTAATTAATAATGGTACAAGATTATAGTTTCACCACAAAAATTTTTAATTATGAAAATATTCGTATTTACTTTTACAGATGCCAAGTTTTCATTAGAATATATAGATAGGTATATGGATATTATAGTTTCCAGAGAGAAAATATTTCAACATATTCGTCCTTGCCTTTTAAGTTACCTTTCAAAAAGTTTAATGTCAACAAGATTATTTGTATAATTTAAATCATCTCTATTACGGACTTCAAAATTAATTACTGAACACCTGAATTATTCATATTTAAAATGTTTTCATATAACATCGCAAAGATAATGGCTTAGAAAACCCATAATTTTTTTATTTCACATTCCATTTCTTATGCTATTTATTAAAGCGTGTGAAATGTTTCACATAAACGATACATCTAAATTTAATTGATTGAAAGTAATTACAGGCGACTTGATCTAAATTGGTTTAAAAGATTTAGAACAGTGAAATGTCACTCGTAAAAAGAGCTAAATAATAAATAATTATCCAAAATAAAAAATGATAATACCTAAATATAATTAATACAAAACACAAAATTGTAATTTCTTTTAAACAAACATAAATTATTATATTATTATTACATCTCGCATTTTTTAATGAAGATATTAAGCTAATTAAAAAAATTAAAAATTATTTTTTTAATATATTTTTTAATAGACTAGATAAAATACTTTAATTACAATTATTATGGACCTCCCTTTCATGCAAAAAAAAACTATGACAATTATCATATAATTATACAAAAAAGTACATTACTTTTATTGCAGCACAATTGAATAATTTGCTATTGAATTCTAAAATTTATAACTACCACTTGTGTTTGTAGTTGATAGTGGTATATATTGAGATATATCTGCCAAATCGTATTTTACAACATTTTTGAGTTCCTATTCTTTATAGAAATATTTAAAACAATATTGAGGTAGGTCCGACATTGATATGGATAGTAAGAGTTGTTTGTTATATCTGTAGCTTTTTGGCCTTTATTATTTTAATTAAGTTAGATTAGTTCTGCCACATATGCAAACATGTTAAGTGGTGTTTTTGATATCCATTTGATTTTGAATAATTGTACTAAACAATAAATGGATTTGCCTCAAAAACTGGAAGATATCAATATCGTGCCAAAATTGCTTATTTATTGGCACTTGTTAGCTGCAAAATGTTACAAAGACATATGTTATTTTTAAATACATAATAACGTCTGTAACAGTGTTTTCCAAATGCGTTTGTTGGCTGAATGTTGTATGTGTTTTATTTCAAGACTATTTCCTTCCCAGACTTATGTGTATGACTTTTGTAACTTTAATAATAATTTTAAGATAATAACTTGTGGTATATATATATATTTATATTTTAATTAAAATTACAATAAGTATATATGAATATATTTAGCAAACTTATAGTAAAGTTAAATACGGCATTTTAAATATAATTTGTTGGTATGTATAACACAGATTGTAATTAGTTGTACCTATACCTTCTATATCAATTATAGGCATAACTACAATTGCATAAATATTTAATATGTTTTCTTAAGTGACATTAAATTAACCTTTATGACGAGTGTTTGTAATTTTTTTCTCTAATGGTATAACAATAGTTACAAAAAAATGTTAATAATATGAATATTCCAACAAAACTACCAAACATGCTGTGGGTAATAATTAATCTACAAACCTATAGATGTAATTTAATCTCATTATCGTTCATTTATAAACACTTGCAATTTTGAACACAACACTTTTAAGCATTAGAATCTAATGGCTTGAATAATGATTAGTGTTTAGTTTATTACGTACAAAATATAATGACAAACGTACATATGTGAGTAACAATATTCTTTTGACAATGTATTGCTTTTCATGGCACATTTGTCAATAATTTCTTTGGACTGTTCAACATGATATAAAATGTATGAATTCCAATATTCAATAAATTGCCTGTTTGTAATATTTTTAGAGCCATTAACCCCAGGCTCTGTTTTTTTAACCGTATAAAAGACTATGGAACAGCACGTGGTTCCTTTCACACTAATAAATTCGGGGATGTCTTCCATGGATCATTTTAGGATAAAAAGTCTTATTGAACAAAGGATCTAAAGCTACTGGCTACCGAAATTGAAGAAAAGCGAATGATTTTCGAGTTACTACTTATTTAAATTTAAAATTAGCTTACCACATACTCACTCACTACAAAAATATTTGTTTCACAAGAAATATTTATACGAATTTTTTTTCGATTTATGTAAATACAATTACTTTAAATGAACTATAATCACTAAAAGTCATAATAAATCATTGCCATAAAATTTCTTTGTTGTCTGAAGAATTCACGCACCCAATAAATTTTAAATGTTTATACGTTACGTTATATTTCACTATTTTCTTAGACTTATGATGGTCACAGTGAATTTATGTTAAAAAAATTCATTCAGGATTTTTGTGAACTGAATAGTTTTATAGATATTTTAAATTTTTAAAAAAACGTAGAACGAAATATGTCATTTTTTTCAATGTATTTTTCAGAATATAACTATTAATGTTTTATTAATTATGATAGTGATGAATTACTTACTTATAGGAAAATCCCTTTTCTTCAATATTATTATCATAACGCAATATGACTGGAAATAACTGAGATATGCCGAATTGAGGTCTTGCCTGACCAATACCCAAGAGGGCAAATAAAATTATTACCTAAAAGTTAAAAATTTATTATATTGACATGCTTTAATTACTTAAATTAATGCCAAACTTATTTAAGTTCATAAACAACACCTTCATCAGTAATATTTAAAACTAAAGATGAGCATTGTTTAAATACAATTCTAGATTTCTCTTTATTTATTCAGGAACTTATTTTTTCCCAAATCAGTAAGAATTTTGTAATACATAATGTATTATTTTTATAAGATGATTTGTATAAAGATTTAATATTTATTATTTTACAAACAATTCGAAATGACATACCTATAAGCGAGCACAGAAACATTATTTTTTATAACTCTTTTACACTAAATGCAATTATAATTCAAAATTACTGAGTCGCGTAGATAAAGTACAACACTGCTTAGAAAATTATAATGTAACTGCATTTAAAAATATCCTTACGTTGTTCAAAAACATTAATCCCGTCGAAATAAATGACAGATATGCAGTAGGAGATAGGCATATACTAAGAGTAATAATGCAAGAAAATTACATAATACAAGTGAAGAGTGGATAGACTTATAACATTTGGCATTAATTTCGATGATAAATATAAGTACAACAAATTAACCTAATACACTTACCGCTTTCATTACGATGTTTAGCAACAACCAAAATGACTTCGTGATTCAGTGACGTTACTTATATACTTTCATTCGTCCCCACATTGGGTAAATCAAATTCTGATAAAATCATACTAGGATGTCAATATAACGTAAGAAAAATCATTCATACCTATACTTGTGGTAAGACCGCGATGCAGATTTTTTTATATACTTATTATAAAATATGTTTGATTATTATTAAATATATGTGTAATTTAACTGTGTATGTAGGCGCATAGTAGTCTTGATTTCTACATATATTACATAATTATTCAAATATTTTTCTAAAACAAAACTCTCTAAAATTTACATTTTAAAAAGCCTACTAGAAAAGATTGATTACATTAAAATTGTTTCGTGAAAAATTTCTTTTAGAAAATAAGTAGGTAAGTTATATTCATTATCTCCCCACAAAAATTTTAATCTGTAATATTGTTCAGACAATATTAGAAGTGTCGGTTTTTTTCTAAATGTACACACTTTTCTTGACTAAAAGAGAAGACCTTGATTTTTTAGAAACTTTTATACAGGGTGTTAGTAAATAAGTGCGACAAATTTCAGGGGGTGATTCTACATGAGAAAATAATGGCAGTTTGCTTATAAACGTATGCCCGCAAATGATTCGTTTTCCGAGATACAGGGTGTCAAAGTTTTTCTTAAAAACTAACGATTTAATTTATTGCTCTGAAACCAGTCGAGATGTGCAAATAAAATTTGGTGGGTTTTAAGAGGTAGTTATTGCGCATTTTTTGACACGCAATTAAGAATTTTATGTTCATCATTGGCGCGCGTACGGGTAATAAGAAAAAATGGTACGCCACTGAGATATTACAAATTAAAAATCATTTTTGAATTCCTCGTTCAATTTGTGACAAAAAATCTCTCTTGCCTTTTCTTCGTATGAGGCGCAGTTTTGATGCAAAAAAATTAAACATCTTAACGCGTATTTTTTATTTCTTTAATACCTACATTATCAAGAAATATCTAATACAATAACATTAAACCAGAACAATAATAGAAAATAACACGAATAAAATTTTGAAAAGGCGCAAAGCTACAACAAATGTTCAAAATGTCCTCCCTCAGACGTGACACAAGATTCAACTCTTCGTCTCATTGATTGTCGTATTCGCGCAAATATTCCTGGTATATTTCTTATTGTCTCAGAGCCGACTATAATTCGATTCCTCAGGTCATCAACATTTTCAACGGAAGTGGAATAAACTAATGACTTAAGAAAACCCCAAATGCAAAAATCAAGAGGATTTAAATCCGGCGATCGAGCAGGCCAATGTTCCGTACCTCCCCTACCTATCCAACGATTTGGATATACTGTGTCTAAGTGATTACGTACATTAATGCTAAAATGGGCTGGTGCACCATCATGCATGTACCATAGGTGTTGTCTCAACTGTAGAGGAATTTCTTCAAGAAGAACAGGTAACTCTTCCTGTTCTTCTGTTAGTCATTGTGGGAGGAAATATGGACCGATTAAATGATCATCAATTACCCCAAGCCACATATTTACGGAAAACTGATGCTGAAAATGAGCTTCAAAAATTTCATGGGGGTTTTCCTCAGCCCATAAGTGATTGTTATGGAAATTTCGTATACACTGTCGTCCAAAAGTAGCCTCGTCAGTAAACAAAACGGCATTTAAAAAATTAGAAATTTGAGCGATTTGATGATTAATCCATTGGCAAAAAAATAGGCGCGGAAAAAAGTCTCTAGCTAGTAGAGCTTGCACACGTTCAATATGAAACGGATACAATTGCTGTTCTTTAAGAATTTTAAATACAGTGAAGTTGCTTACATTCAATATGTTGACAATTTTTCGAGCACTTGTTTCAGGTGACTCCGCAATTAAGTCGAGAACTGCTTCTTCTAGTTGCACAGTTCGTACTTCTCGAGGGCGCCCACAGTCAACCGTTTGTTTCTTAAATGAACCATTTGCGCGCAAACGTTGATGAAGACGAGCAAATATTGTGTGATGAGGTACCCTACGTCCTGGATACAACTCAACATACAATCGTCGAGCTTGCCGACCATTTCTATTACTTCGTCCATAGACAAAATGCATGTCTGACAATTCCGTATCTGTAAAATTTTCCATTCCTTTCGATAAAAGAAAAATTAATTACTTATTAACACTAATGTTATAGCAAACTAAAAGCTTAATAAATTAATAATGACGAACGGCTAATTTGACATTTCTTAAAAATATTCGTATTTAACAGACAAATGTTGACAGTAGCCTACTAGGTAATGTATTGAAGAAATAAAAAATACGCGTTAAGATGTTTTATTTTTTTGCATCAAAACGGCGCCCCATACGAAGAAAAGGCAAGANTGGATCAAAATCAGATAATAATCTGTCATCTTTATAAAGTGTCCAATTTGGTCTTTGTACGATTTTATCAGCAAAAAATGAGCCTGCACTTACCACCTCACGCAAATGGTGTATCTGTTTTTGCATGTGTTCCACTGTCAATGGCGGTGTGTGGGACCTTTGTGACAGCTCTACATCAGAGGTATGCACCATGGCTCTGGAGGTACTGGGTGTTGGGGTTGATAATGCTTCACTGTGTCTATTCATGATTCACAACAAAACTAAGTCACTGATATCGTCACTTATTTTTGATATTGTTTATTTAACGTTTGTATTTGTTCTTTATCCCACTTCTGAGATGTAAGAAAATTAAATACTAAACAATTAAAGTAAAAACTGGTAATATAATAGGTGAAGAGTAATTCACAGCGTGTTAACATGTTAACAGTATATTAATGAATGTCCGTCTCAGGAGTATTCTGTCCGCTTCCAAATCACAATGTTTATATTGAAATAGTGCCTATTCATTACTTATAACTCAAACAAAGTCGTCTAAGGCTGGCCGGCTATGTTGAAATTCCAAACGCCAGTCTTGTACCGCTTACAACAGATATTTTATTAGTTCAAAATATTAATTTCTTGTTTTGTTATTTTTCAGAAAACAAAAAATAAATAGATTAATAAACTCCTTTGCAACTGACAGTTATTATAAAATATGCGATGCTTATAAGAGAAATGTCGGAAAAGATAAGATAAAAAAACAATATTAATTATAATGGGTCTAGTCACGTCCAAAACTTTTGACATTCATTTCAGAATGTTATTTTCTTTAAGGTTGATATTTATATATAATTTTTTCTGTTAATAATTATAATTCCATCTCTATTGTAACTGTATCTAATTTTGTAATTGTAATGTAATGTAATTTGTTATACATTGTAATACATTTCACAGTTTTCCCTCCCCTTTTTTGAATCGAATACTTTGCTATTGACCAAAATTTTGTAGTGTTTCTGAGGAAGAAACAATAAAGTTTCGAAACCTTGAACAGAAAAAAGATTGTACTTTTTTGTTGTAAAACTGATAACCCGAACAACTTCCTTTTTCTTAACTAGACAGTCGTCTAATTGATTACTATATTGCTTTTATTAAATAGAACACGATAGCTTATTTCAAAAATGCCTATTTTTACATCGTACGAGCTGAAGTATTGATATTTGAAAGAGAGATAGGGGAATCCTTTGTTACACTTATTTTAGAAACTTCTTAATTTTACAGGATGGTGAAAATTTATTGACGAATTTACTTAACTTTAACTGTCAAAACTTGGTTTTTCTATATGGCGCACTCTGTATATGCGTTATTTAATGTTAATCAGTAACAATTGTGTACTTTTTCAATTATCTACTAAGTATTTTGATATTTATTTAACGTATTTTCATGGGTTATTTTTTTAATTATTAATTATAATTTGATTGATTTTGTACTGTCATTAACCGCTATTTGCAACTTTGCAATAAATGCAATACGCGATGGGTCGAAGATCCTAGATCCGGTCGCGTGAGTGATGACAATACATTATTCTTACTCAGCAAAACTTACATTATTGTAGATATAGAAAATAAAATTAGTCTTAACTCAAAACTCTCTATTAATTAACATCAAAAATATACCTTAACTCAGAAGGTAATACCACATGACGATCTTGCCCAAGATTTTGTTAGAAGATTCCAGTAATTAGAAGATTCCAGGATGTAGTGTATTTGCAAGTGAAGTTTTAAATCAAGCAAAATTGAGAATCAAAATACTAAGGAAGAAATTTTGGTGAACCAAAATAATGGTAGCACTAATCCTCAAATCTACTCAGCAATAATTATCTCCAAAACAATAGTAATTTTGGCACTACTAGTGATCTGCGGCTTTGCAGTATTTTGTTGCATGAAAACGTTTAAAAAACGAATTACTGCGAATGTAATAAAGGACATAAGAGCACAGGCAACTTCCATCGTTTAACTATCTACTTAAAAAGAGGCGGTAATGTAAAAAAAAATTAAGTGAAAATAAAGAAAAAACATTTAAATGTAAAAAGAAAAACTGTTAAATTAAGTGAAGTGAAGTTTTCTAATCATCATCATCATCCAATATGGAAATGCAGATAAAATATTTTCTACAACCAACTTCTACCAGGTCAGCACCACCGACTTCATCTACATCCGACCCGAACATCGTCACATAATTTACAAGTAAGTCAAGTGACTAAAGTGAAGTGAACAGTGCAATTTTAGTCTAGTTTTAGCTATGAGATTTAATAATTTTTTTGTATTTATGACTTTATTTTGTATTTATGACTTCCTACCAATTTCTTCTAGAATTATCAGAAGAAATTGAGATAATTAACAAAAATTTAAAGAAAGGGGGTTCTAACAGGATATATAAAGAATCAAGTCTCTGTTTAAAAAAAAGTCTAAAATACCTACAGACAAAATATATAGAAACATATAATTCTATGGGAAAAACTGTTGGTCTTGCAGATCAATTAATTATAAATGACTTAAAAACTAAATTTATTACATTATTAAATGATTCTAATAACAGAATTAATCATTTACTACAACTTTGTCTTAAGGAACCTAGTACGAGTACTAAGCCATTTGAGCAATCCTCTAGTTTAGTTAAAACGAATTTAAAACACGTATCTGAAGAGGTAGTTATCAAAATGGAATTTTACTTTAAAGTAGCTTCACATG